CTAATAAAACAGTGAAAATGAGTGTTTTTTCATTAAGTTGCACTGAGAGGAAACGGGCACACAAAGATCTGTTTGACAAAATCCCTGCGTCTTAGATGGTTATTTATAGCAAATTCAAATAGTGGCACTTTCTGCGTGTGGATGTGTGTATGCACGAATGTGTGCACAGCTTCTTTCCAAAATGGTCCTTCAAGACCGCTAATCAGAATGATTATCAGGAGATTATCAGAATGAAAATCAGGAGACTTTGTATATAACCACACTGAACGTTTATGCTTTGGTTTAAAAGTTAAACTCTCTGGGGATACTTTTCAACCCAAATTTTGGAAGCCTCTCTGTGTGTTTGTTAATGTGGTGACATGGCCTGTCCTGCACTGTTCAGCTTAAACTCCCTGCACGGTGTTAACCTCCTCCCTCGGGCCAGTGTTCAGATCTCTACTTTCTCCCACTCCCTGCTGTGTATATTTTTCTTGGATCTCCTTAAACTGATTCTGTGTCAGTAGCTTTTCAGGCAGCAGTGAAAAAATCCAGGAGGTAGAAACTTTTATTGCGGAAATACAGGCAAAAGCAGAGCTGGTGGGGTGGGGAACAGGGGCATCTGCTTCCATTGCATACTGTCTCCAAAAACTAGCTCTTTTTAAAATCCTGTGTGCAAACACGCTAGATGTTAAGACTGTGATAAGAAGGCTTTACAATGCTATGACTGGGAAACATGTAGGCCCAGGTGCTGGCAGTTCTCAAGATAATGATTAAGAAGGCACAGGAAGCAGGACCGGGTCCTTTTAGGGAGGAAGTTTTAGGGAGGAAATACTGAACAGAGTTTTTGGTCTCTTGGAAAAGTGATCAGCAGTCTTGGCTTCATAGGGACCAGAAACAAGCCAGAACAACCTGGCCTAGGTGACAATCTGACATTCTTCACTTCCTGATTAATTGGAAAGTTGAAAACGGGACAATTTTGTACATGCAACCAGGAAATTAAGGCTAAACATGGAAGGTATTCTGTCAGCAAATAGGCTTCAGCAGCTCACCTGATAGGCAATGGCCAGGCTAGGAATGGAGGTTCCCCTTCCTTTTGGTGCCCAGACCTAGCTGTGCACACTTTCCCTGAACATAACAGTCTCCATATGACCTCTCGCATACTTCAGTGTTACTCCCGTGCTCGTGAGTGCTTATTCCTGCCTGATCATTCCCGGAGAGC